TGTGTCTGGCAGTGTTGTCCGAATGTGTCTGGCTGCTGGTCTCTGACCTTCTGCCTGTGTGCCCCAGAAGAGGGCCCCGTGCATTGCTGAAGGGACAGAGAAAGCAGAAGTGCTGGTCTCTGGAAAGAGGTGAGGGGCTCAGCTTGGCAAGGTCCACCTTACAGGAGAGGCTGGGATGCTGTGGCTGTCGATGTGCAGCAGTGCAGGGGAATGGTAGGGAGGAAGCATTTCAGTAACTTGCTCCATGCTCTTGCATGGAGGTGACCTCTCCTCGGTCAGCTAGTCCTGACCAGGTACATGTCTGTGAGGTGGTGCTTGTCCTCAGGCATTTTGGAGGTTTGAGCCAATGGTCAGTTTTGGTTTAACAAAGCACTATACGTAACAACAAGACTCAGTAGATGCAGTAGTTTCAGTGAAGCTGCGTGTTCTAGAGACTTGGTATGGCTGCTGTTGAAAGATTGCTATTATTTGGAAAGACATTTTCTGATTTTTCTGTGACGGTGTGTTTTGTGAGTGGAGGAAAGTACTGGTTTCAGTGACTGAGCAAAATCCATTCTTACATTTTGGAAGGAGTTAAAATGTTTTTCTTGTTGCTTTAAAGCAGCTGTGTCTAGTTTAAAGTGATAATCCAAAATGGATGTGACATTTGAGTGTGCAAAGGCTGGCATGTGGATATACTGCAGTGAACAGAACTGACGTGTGGAAAATTCAGGCTAGAAAGTATGAAGTGGGGCACTTCACAAAGTAACCAGTGCTGCAGAACCTCATCACAGAAACTCGCCTTGCTCATGAGAACAATTGAGCTGCCTTTGATGCTACAGTTCTTATTTGTGTTTCTGCAACGTGATGCGCTCTGTGCTGTGCTTCTATATATTTCTATGCTTGCCAAAGGTCTTGCTCAGACTGTGCCAAGTGCACCACAAGCCAGAACCCCAGGTCTTCTTTTATATGAGCCTTCCCTCTCCAGTTCCTAGCTCAGTTCTTCTTGGAGCATATAAGAAGCGCCAGTGACGCTTACAGCTTCTCCTGGGGCCAGGCAATACTGCTAACCCAACTGACATTGTGATAAAAATTTATTTCCTGGTAAGGGAGTCCTTTCGAAGAGGTGCCTTGAGTCACTAAATAGTTTGAGTACTGGGGCTATCACGTGTATGTTTTACCCCCTGTCTTTAAAGAGAATTTAGCAGTGGATTTCTTCATGGTCTTCCTTTGACCAACTCCCTTCCTGGCTTTGTTGACCCACTTGTGAGTCCCCAAGAGGCTTTGCCCTGTGATGCTCAAAGAGTTCACTAGAGCATCCCTTGTGCTTGTTGTGCAACAAAGCCACAGCTGTTTCCTGGCCTCTGGGACCCTGTGTCCCTGCAGATGGAGAGGCAAGATTTGCCTCGGTGGATGTTATTTAATATTTTCTTATGTTAGAAACAATTGTTTAACAGATTATGAGCTGTCTCCAAGCAGCGCATTGTCAGGGATGTCAATGCAATTGAATGTAAGTGATAGCAATGAGAACAGCCCTTTTACCTCCAGGTTATCTGTCAGAATAAACTATGCAGGGGAGTTATAAGTGGGAGTCCTTATTTTATGCTGTGTCTTGCCAGTGTTCGCACAGGCAAAACACCATTGTTGGAGACACTCCTTCTGAAGAAATGCAGGCGTGTTCTCCACATAGGCACAGAACCACCGTTGTGTAATTATTTTGTCTTTAAAGAGATCTCTTTAGAAGAGGCGTAAGTAACTGGAAATAAATTCCTATATTTCTCCAAGACCCTTTTTTTTTTTTTTTTTTTTTGCTGATGCTGGGGCTCCCACTCTGTGGGCTGTTAGGTCACGGCAAGTTAAAAAAAAAAAAAAAGATGGGTACAGGAAGTTTGGAAACCACCAATGCAGATCATCTCTCCCAAAATCAGGAACAAAGGAACTGATCATCCTGAGCCTGATAACCTCCTAAGGAAAGCTGGCAGAGAGTTGTGGGTTGGAAACCTCTTTCCTGGCCTGGCAGTTTGGATGGTGCTACACTACAGCTTCTCTTGGCTGCCTGTCTGCTGTGCTCACAGGGACCAACGGCTTCTCTGCAGGCTTTCAGCTGCATGGGGAGTTCCCAAGCACTGGTCCCTGCAGAGCATTTTTTTTGGATCTAGGGATGACCCAGGGCAAGCACTAAAAAAGTGTGCCAACAGAGCTGGAGGAGCAAGCCCGAAGATGAGTCAGGGGTGTGATGTTGACTCTGGAGAATGGGTCCAACTTCAGTATTTACTTCCTGTGTGATTGTAAACTGTGTAAAGCCTGAATCAAAGAAGAGTAAAGATGCCTTAACTGGGAATTAGCTAGAAGTGGGACAAACTTATGAAACAGTGGGATCGTCAAAACCTCTGGCTTGGTCTTTGAATTGATAGATGCCCAAGTTTTTGCCTTTGAAGCTTTGTAGGGACATAAAGATCTCTCAGCTTGGTTGTAACTCACAAGTAAACCCAACTTGGACTCTCCGATGAAGCATTCGACCTCCACCTCCCGGAGAGGATCACCCAATGTAGACTAACAGGATTGCCTAGTAGGGATGCATAAAATACAACAACCAAGTCACACTGACTTAAAAACTCATATGGTGAGGATGTTGGCGTCTGTTCTCTTCAGCAGCTTGATAATTAGAACAGTCAGTCAGGAGTTGAAATGAAGGTTGAGCTTTCACTGCCCTCAAGCAGCCCCACATCTCGTAAGAGAACACCCAAATTGCTAGGCTGTCAGGGAGGAGGGAAATATGTGCATGTTCTCTAAACATCCTTTGGAAACTGCCAGTCAATAAAAAATCGGGCTTCATTGGGTCAAAAGGTAAGCAAAGGGGAAAGTGATTCTTTAGCTCCTGCAGTAATGGAAAAGAATCTTGGGTATCGTCTGTGAGAACTGGGCTTATGTTAAAATATTAGTTATTGTAAATAGTAAAGGAAAGGGAAAAACCCCAACCCTTAAAAGATGCCCCTTTTTCATTGCTTTTCATAGTTTAACTTGGGCAGGTTTCTATTTGCTGCGCTGATGTTTTTCAGTTCTATCTCACCAACACTATGCACAGAGCTTCCAGCTCCCGAGTCTTTGAGAGCTGGCCATCTAGAGGCTAGGGCATAGCAGTCTCACCTTTTGGTGCTTAAATCCCCTTGTGGACTTAGTACTTCATTTTTACCTGTAAAAAGGGGAGCACTGTTATACTTCACAGAAGTATTGCAAGGCTAGATAAAAGAAGGATTAGCATGGTGATCACAGAATCACAGAATGGTAGGGGTTGGAAGGGAATGGCCATCAGAAAAATGCTCTTTATAGCTTTTAATTAAAAAAGAAAAGCTTATTTATCTGAAGACAATGTTGAGGTTTAAGTGTGAAAGGAAGGCCACTGCGTAAGTTAATAGGAGCTCTTCAAGGAGCTCTTGAAGAAGTGGAGAGAAGAGTAATTTACCTTTTGAGAATGCATGCATGAAATAACTACATTGAGATCAGGGCAGTACCTGGCTTAGCATTTGTATTTGCATATTTTTTTATCTTTTTTTTTTTTGTACTTCCTGATGAACATTTAAAAATATCCTAACACAGTACAATTCAGTGTTTATAATAGGCACTCAACAAGACTTGCTTTAGCGATGAGAAATGACTTGGCTTACTTATTCATAGGAAGGAGTAAAAGACATGTATTGTTTTTGGAACAAAGTGCTTCAACCAAGCAAAAACCATGGTATTTAAAAGATGCTGTGAGAAACAAAGCAGTTAAAATGTCCTGAAGTTATACTACTGGTGTATTTCATTCTAAAGAGTGTATAAAGATACACTTAATCATGCTCATAGGATTGGGCAATGGGTTTAGATAGCTACAGGAATGGGTTTTTTTTTTTAAACCCACTTTAAGTTTGCAATGGGACAAAAGATTTTGAAAGGTAAAGTTAAAATAAAACTTTTTGCAATTAATAGGTAAAATGTCTTGTTTGTGTCTCTTGGTTGCAGGAAGCATTAATGACAGCTATGGATGTTTGAGCAGTTGGGGGATAGATCCTGAAAAGTAGACAGTGTAGTGGGCTCTCTTAAAGGCTTCCCTTAAATATGATTGCGTCTTATTCTCATGTGGCTGCCTAGCGTTTCTTTCAAAAGCCAGGGGGTCTTTGCAGCTATGAAAGAAGCCACCGTCTCCTCCTGCCTGCCAGTGCCCAAAGAGCAGCGCTGCTGTCTGTCTTGGCACAGGTGTAGTTAGTTGACTGCACAAGAGCCAAAGCAGCAGAGAAAAGCGAGGTCTGTGCCCACCATTGAGTATGTTTGTAATCTGAATTAGATAGCAGTCATAAAAAAAGTAGTGCACACAGATCCAGTGAGAAGGGAGGCGTGAATCCTACTCTTTTTTTTTTTTTTTTTTTTTTTTTTTTTTCTTGCTGATTGAAACTCCTTCTGGCTTGTACAGCAAACAAAAAGTTCTTTCTACTGGTGTAAGTCCTAGCCCTAGTTGTCTGGTGACTAGTTTGGAGCGCTGTGCTGTACACATCACATGAGAAGTATTTGATCTTGTGTGGCCAGCAGTGAAGGCGTTATTGAGAGGAGCCATGGTGTCTACATTCAGAGAGGAGAAATATCGCTCATGTGCTGTTCTTGGCCGTGTGTAAGAGGCTTCGCATTCAAACTGAGTGTCATGGTGGATCAGTGCATGTGGCACAGAGGGAAGCAGTTTGGTGAATCTGTCCTCAGTCAAGAGATGAATTTTACCTGCTTAACTGTCATGTGTTTCGTTTGCATAAAACCATCCTCTTAAGGTTTGCATGAGTAATTTTAATGGTGTTCTTTTTTTTTTTTAAGTAAGAATTTACTTAAAATTAAAACTGGAAATAATACTTTTGATTGCAATGGGAATAGTATCTACGAAAAACTGTGCAGGGACTGAAGCAATCAGGATTTGGTCCTGAAATGAGTATTTCCTCTAATGCAGCCATAGCCTTGTCTAATGTCTACCTGATGTGCTCTTTCAAACAGATACTAATTTTGTATTGGGTAATGCCCAGATAGTGGATTGGCCCATTGTCTACAGCAACGATGGATTTTGCAAGCTATCAGGATATCACAGAGCAGAAGTTATGCAAAAAAGCAGCACCTGCAGGTATTTGAGAACAGATTTATTTTCTGTTAAATAGCTTGTAGTGTTGTGCTTGTTGCTTGAGGAGAAAAGTAATCTATTTATTCCAGTTTTGTCTTTTATCTCCTGGGGCTGCATCTGTCAAGTATGCTTTCCAGGTGAAACAGAATCAAAGAAGGGCGATTTCTAAACAGGTCCTTTTCACATTGTAAACAAATGGCTCTGTGTCTTTGTCTAGTATCTGACTTGAGTTCTTTGCTTTATTTGCAGTTTTATGTATGGAGAGCTGACAGACAAAGATACAATTGACAAAGTCCGGCAAACATTTGAGAACTATGAGATGAACTCCTTTGAAATCTTGATGTACAAGAAGAACAGTAAGTAGTTGATTGGTTTGTTTGTTAATGTAGGTGTGTAAAGTTTTTTTAAACTATAGTGTAAACTGCAAGTCTGTCAGCCTGGAGGACTGTGCTTTCTCTAGGGCTAAATAAGCTCCAGTTCTACCAGTTGATCTACAAGGGAGAAATGAGAACATTAGTGATGAAAGTCACTCAGGGAGGCGGACGAAGCTCTCTAATTTGTTCTGACATTTAGAGCAATTTGTGTGTGATGCTTTAAGACAACACTCAAGATTCCATCAGCGGTGATAATACACAAGCTAGGTTTGTGCAAATGGTTTCTGTTACAGAGGACATACTTTTTAAATTTTAAAAAATTTAATATAGCAGAGCCAGAACCCATCTTTTGTTTTAGAAGCTGAACTACTTCTGATGTTTCCAGATGAAACTGTTGTTTTGGACAAAAATTCCGTAACTGGGATATGATTTTTTTCCTAGTCTGTCTGTAACTGCACATGTCAGCAGATAAACTACTTGCCCAAAACTTGTTGTCTCATCTAGTGTGGACTATGTCATGGCACAGTTATTTTCATCTGCTTAATGTCACCTGAAGCATAAATGCACTGACATCTTCAGCCTGGCCAAAAGTTTATGCTGAAAGTCTGCATTCCGCAACTTATTTTGCTCTCAACAATTTTGCTTTCTAATCATGAAACTGGTAGTGTCTGTGTACAGGGGAGGGTACCTTGCAGAAGCATCCTGCTAGCAGCTCCTTCCACTAAAGCTGCGATGATCAATTTGATCAGTTCTGCATTACTGGGCATGGAGGACTTTAAACACAAAATATGACACAAACCACTATGATGTAATTTTTGACAGTTTACCTCGTTGATGCTTTGTTTCTTGTTAGAAAGACCAGTTTTCCGGGGAAAGGTTATCCAATTTATCTGTATGCGTGAACCATTGGTGTTTCTGTTGAAATGACTAGCTAGTACTGATGGAGTTCAGTGAGAGAACCACAGGCACTTCACAAAAGCTAAAAGGTAATACTTATGTATGCTGGTGCTGATCTGTGGATGTGTGGAGCTGCTTTTTTTTCTATCAGAATTAATCTGTTCTTCTAAGTGGTGGTGCCAAAGCACATGGAATTGATTTTTGTTATCATTTAGAGAGAGAAAAAAAATCCTTAGGATTTTTGCTTCATCTCTCTTCTAGCCTTTTTTTTTCTCTTATTAGCCTGTCCAAAGCACCATGACCTCTGACACAGTGCCATTGCTCAGAGCTCTTCTGGAGCACAGCTTTGCTGGTCCAACTCATTTGAAAAGCTGTACGTGCTATCTGAATGGCCTTGCTTTGTGCTGCTTTCCTTCTAGTGTTACCTGCCTCCATTGTTTATCTACTTCTTAAACCTGATTTCTGTTCCTAGCTCAGTTAGTGGCCATAGGGACCATATGCAGCTCACATCAATGCATCCAAAGCCAAGTAAATAAGCTGCAGTGGGATCTAGGAGGGTCTGGAATTCTCTCTTAGTTAACAGTGATTTGGCACCAAGGGGCCATGCAGCTACTTTTCTGTCATTGCTGCAGCATATGGCCTGTAGTAGAGCCTGGGGCCTCTCTGTCTTTTATGCAGAAAGCAAGCAAGGTAGCCGTGGAGTGAGGAATGTTTCCTGCCCTGCTGTGCACTTCCCTGAGGAGAGGCGGCCTAGAACAAAGTCCAGCTGTGCAGAAGCTGTGTTGTGCGACATGCCAAAGAGCAGAGCTGCGATGGTTCTCCTGTGTGCGCAGAGGGTCACAGGCACGGGAGAAAGGAAAGCACAGAGCTTTACTTTTTTTAAAGTTTAACAAAACACAGTGCTCTTATGTTTGTTAGATTTGTAGCTTTAGAGGTACATTAACTACTGTTAAAGAGACTGACTAATAACACTGGAGAGTTATAGCTGGAAAATACCAAAAAGGGGACATGCTGTAGCTTTTTCTCAGAATAAGCCACATCATAGAAAAACACTGTCATGTTTACTAGTCACTTTGTACCCAGGCTGCGAAGTGGTCTTGCCTTTGTGGTCACCTTGCCTCTGCCTGCAACTATGGCAGCTGCCTGCTCGGGCAATGAACATGATTGGTTTCAACCTACTCTCAGTTTGAAGGTTTTGGAAAGGACCCTGGATTTTGTTAGACATAAATTTTCCTCTTAGTTTCTCTTTTTGTCTCTCTTTTCTTCCCTCATTCTGTTTTTCTTCTTCAAATTAGCCAGTAAATTAGATAGGAAATAAATTTTTGTTGTTGTTCTTTACTTGTCCACTCCCTCCCTATAAACTAACAGGCATGATAAATAGCAAGTTTTTCTTCCATTTTTGTCTTCACTAATTGGTACATTTTCCACAGCCTGCACATTTAATATACTTCTAGCCATTTTAACAATACAATCTCTACCCTTTCAGGAAAAAAAAAGGAAAACAAAGCAGGACTTTCAAGTTAACTATGATGCTAGTGCAGGTCAATTTTCATCTTGTATCTTTATGAGCAGCAGCCATCTCTCTCAGTAACACTTATGTCCTGATCTTACACTAGACATGTCAACAATAGATTGAGACATTTAATCATGCTACTAGAAGTGACAGGCTTTTTTTTTTTTTTTTTTTGACATGGCACTCTCCATCGTGGTGACCCAGTGCTGGTATTTGGTTGTCTGATAAGAATACCCCATCCAGATGTTGATAAGTTGATATCCACCAGCTTCATTGTAATTCACAATATCAACTCTATAAAAACATAGGCTGTAGTATTCAGAATAATGATACAGTTTTCTGTTTTCATCATGTTTGCATTTGTGGATACTGTTTCTACCCTGGCCGCCTCTTTCTCTATCCAGCCCTCTCCCCATGCAAAAGTGACTCTCCTCCCTCTTTTCAGAACTTGAAGTTAAGATATGATAGAGATTTGATCATTCCTTGGGCCAGACCCTTGATTATTTAGCAGATATGTGATGATCATTGTTATTTTCTGGAATAATTGCTTCCTAGAAATGCAGAGCTCCTTCAGGATTATTGGAAGCAGTTAGAGCAAGCAGGTGCACAGCCACCAGATTTTTGTGGTGGTTGTTCTGATGCCATCCTATTGCATTCAGTGGGGATTCCTGGTCATACCTGGAAGGAGATCAAGTGAAAGCTTTCTTTAATCTGGACTTTAAAATGACAACAGACAGGTTGACAGTAATTTCATGTGAGAGCTTCAGTTCCATTGTTTGATTAGATGTGAGTGTCCAGTGATGCTGGAAGTATTGTTGATTTTTATATGGGAAAATCAAAACATTGCTAAGTCTTACTGAAGTCAGAGGAGTTATGTTAACTTACACCAAGGAAAGATACAGCCTAATGTATTAGAAAATATTTTGTGTCGTCTTAGTCATATCTTATCTTATCTGAACTGATGCAGCTTAAACATCTAACTTCTTATGACACTTTGACAGCTATTTGTTAGATTTTTACACTTTATGGTTAGCCTTATAAATTCAAATGGCTGAGTAAATTAAACTAGGACTTTCATTGCCTAGTTTTCCATCTACAGCGTAGGTCTGGGTTAGAAGCAGTGCAAAAGTAGGCTGCTTCTAGGTGCACTTGCTTGCGTTATTGCTGAAGTAAATTTTTGTAAGAATGTAAACTTGCTTCTGTCTGCCTCTGAAGAGGTGGAACCCATTTGAAATCGAATCCCGTTTGATATGCAGTACTTGATCTGCTTCAGTGGAAGAATACCTGAAGCAGGCTTGACTCTTCAAAACTAAAATGTGTGAATAGTTACAAAGAGTCTTCAAGCGTGCCCTGTCTGAGCAGACATTCCCATGTTATGGTCTGCAGCAGTGCTGCAGAGAGTGTTAAGACACTTTTTTTTTTCCCCTCCTTCCTCTCAGAGGTTTTCTATGGGTGGGGCCAGTGGAATGGCAGCAGCCAAAGGGCTGGCTGTGGGTAATTATTTTGCACACTGCAAAGTGATTTGAATAAGCGGTAGTTCTTCTCTGACTACGTATGTTATGGTGAGAGTCCTGAAGGTGGGGCTTCACATTCAATTTGTGCTGGTGTTCACTTCCCTGATTTTCTGGGTGCTTGAATATTTAAAAATTTTAACAAATTTTTTTTGGGGGGGTTTGTTTTGTTTGTTGGAAATCTTTTGTTAACGCACGCACCATCCCCCCTGCAGTCTATTAGAAGGCTTTTTGTTGTCAAAGAATGACAAATAAGCTCAAAATAGTGATTTGGCAGATTCTGCTTGCACTTGTCTTTGGGCCCAGTGCTTTCTACAGAGGTTAAAAACTAGACAAACAACCTCATCCTGATTTATAGAGAGCAAAATTCACTTCAGGGTGATAGACTTGTGATTGCCCACCACTAGGGAGAGTTTCTCATAACTCTTATTGATTAAAACTGTTTCAAACTATTTATATTGGTGTGTGCTGTGCCTCCAGTGCCTCTATATGGAAACCTTTGCTAAACCAAATCATTGCATAGGACCAGAAGCAAGAAAGAATGAGGGTATTGAAGTGGCATGTATCCTCCTGAGCCTCCCCTTGGAATCTGGTTCCATATTTGTCAAGCATTATGCACACCTACATCTCCTCCTCTGTGAAATCTATCTGCATGTGTCCAGTTACCTTCAGCGAGGTCAAATTAAGTGTTTTGGATTTGTAAAACTGATAATTCCCATTGATCTTGTCAACTTCAAATGTGTTGGCAAGCAAGACCTGCTGTCATCTCCTCAAACATGCACAGAACAGTAAGACTTCCCAGTGGTAATCATTAAATATTTTACCTGAGGTAAATGGAAAGAAGATTTCAAGACTTCCCTGTGTCTTCCCCTTCCTTATACTCACTTTCAGAGAACTCTGAATTGGGTAAGCCATATCGACACTACTGTGGTACAAGGATGTGTGCTGAACCTTTTTCCTACTGTGTTGTTTCAGTGTCACAGGATAAACCCTTGTGTGTAGCAATTGCACCTTTGGGGACTGAAATTGATTTTCCTTATCTTAACATGTAAAGATCTGAC